TTGGAAGTAGAACGGAATCTGTTCCGGAAGGTCGAACAGACTCCATTCGACTTCCAAAACGTTTGGAACCCAAATCAGACGTTCAAAGAACGTTCGAAAACCGGAACACTCACTTCTGGGTTTTGATCGTTCAGGAGCCAAGGCATTTGAGATCCAAGGTACGACTATACACTGGAAAATGCCACTAGGATTCTCCTCAGTATTGCCTGATGATGCTCTTGCTTTCACTCTGCAAATTATCTGTCCCTATACTGCAAATCAGGGGACATGGGTGGCGCTGTGGTCTAAACCACAGAGCCTAGGGCTTGCCGATCACAAGGTCGGCGGTTTGAATCCCCGCGACGGGGTGAGCTCCCGTTGCTCGGTCCCTGCTCCTGCCCACTTAGCAGTTCGAAAGCACACCAAAAAGTGAAAGTAGATAAATAGGTACCACTCCGGCGGGAAGGTAAACGGCGTTTCCGTGCACTGCTCTGGTTCGCCAGAAGCGGCTTAGTCATGCTGGCCACATGACCCGGAAGCTGTACGCCGGCTCCCTCGGCCAGTAAAGCGAGATGAGCTCTGCAACCCCAGAGTCGGTCACGACCGGACCTAATGGTCAGGGGTCCCTTTACCTTACCTATTCTGCAAATCATCAAAATTATTTTGACACTATACCATACTGCAACGAGCTGTTAAAATGTTGCTTGGGTTGTCTCTGATTCTTCCTGCCACACTTGCCACCCTCTCCTGCCACAACCGTTGAGAACCACTGCTCCAGCTGAACCCCAACTCTTCTATCAGCTCCAGTGAGCATGGCAAATGGCCAGGAATGATGGGAGTTGTAGTCGAGGAACAACTGGCCATGATAAGCCAAGGCTGATGAGAGTTGGGGTTCAGCAACACCTGGACGGCCGCAGGTTCCTCACCCCCGTTGTAGGAAGCGCTGACTACATACAAGGCAGTTTTCTAGATTTCTGTAGCTGCAAAGAATGTCCCCAAGCTCCTGGGAGGAAGGACCAGGAGTTCAAA